GGCCGTTCTGTGGCTAGAAGAGTACTTGTGCAGATGGAAGAAGACTCTAGTGGTTGTCTCGCACGACCGGGATTTTCTCAACACTGTCTGCAACGAAATTATCCACCTTCACGATCTGAAACTCCACCTCTATAGGGGAAACTTCGACGAATTTGAGGTCGGGTACGAGCAGCGCCGAAAAGAGATGAATAAGAAGTTCGAGATTTACGACAAGCAGGTAAAAGCTGCCAAGAGGTCCGGGAGTCGAGCGCAGCAGGAGAAGGTCAAGGACCGAGCCAAGTTCAATGCTGCAAAAGAAGCCTCGAAAAACAAGGGTAAAGGCAAGGTTGTTGATGAAGACGAGCCCTTACCAGAGGCCCCGCAAAAATGGCGGGACTACACTGTGGAGTTCCATTTTCCCGAGCCAACGGAGTTAACCCCACCGCTTTTGCAGTTGATTGAAGTTAGCTTTAGTTATCCCAACAGAAAGGATTTCAGGCTCTCGAATGTCGACGTGGGTATCGACATGGGGACTCGTGTCGCGATAGTTGGGCCGAATGGAGCTGGAAAATCGACCCTGCTCAACCTCCTTGCCGGAGATTTAGAACCGACCGAGGGTGAAGTGAGAAGAAGTCAAAAACTAAGAATTGGTAGATACTCGCAACATTTTGTGGATTTACTGACGATGAACGAGACTCCAGTACAATATTTGCTTCGTTTGCATCCTGATCAAGAAGGACTCAGCAAGCAAGAGGCTGTTAGGGCGAAGCTCGGCAAGTTTGGACTTCCGAGCCACAATCATCTTACACCAATCGCAAAGCTATCTGGAGGGCAGAAAGCACGGGTTGTGTTCACTTCCATATCCATGTCCAAGCCACATATTCTGCTTTTAGATGAACCGACCAATCATTTGGATATGCAGAGTATCGATGCCTTGGCAGATGCACTTGATGAGTTCACTGGTGGAGTTGTTCTGGTCAGTCATGACTCGAGGCTCATATCTCGTGTCTGTGAAGATGAGGAGAGGAGTGAAATATGGGTGGTGGAGAATGGAACTGTCGAGGCCTTCCCAGGTTCGTTCGAAGAATACAAGGAGGAGCTTGTTAAGGAAATCCGAGCAGAGGTAGATGATTGAGTCTCTGCTTGATTTCAAGGTAATATTTTTTTTCTGTTTTATTTTATTATCATGATTTATTCAGTCATGAGAAATACGGTTCGGCTGCCTAAAACTGAGACATGTAGGTTTTTCTTCGACTGCATGCATGCACCAATTCAGTTCATTGTCACCAAGACTTCATGCGCGTATTCAGAAAATAAGCGGATTAGCGAGTGCATTCTATCTCGACTTCAAATTAAGTATCAATGAAACTGATACGTACGTGTTGTTTGATTGATTTCTTGTTCGATATTCGGATCCAGTGGAAGCTCTGTTTGCAGACGGGCTGAGTTTGAAGTACTCATTGAAGTCATGCTAAAAGCTGATGGTCTCTACATTTTGATTAATGGGTTTCATTCTTTCTTTCTTTATTTATTTATTTTTCTTTTTTCCTCACAGTTTTGGCACCTCCAGTTATAGAACTTCATGTTTCAAAGGTTTGTGTTTATGGCATCTGATCATTAGTCAATGACTTTTTATCTTTTTTCGTTCAAGAATTTATACGGCTTGTGCGAATTGTCGTGCCTGTACTAGTGCATTTTTCCTCTAATATCAAAGGTTGAGTCTTTATTGTCATGTTCTCTCAGTTTATTCAGCTTTTGGTTGTATTATTTTAACTACGGGTTGTACCATTTGCACGTTTGTGCGATTTGATATATAAATTCTCTATCGATCCAAGAAAAAAAAAACATTCAAGATTCAATTTTCAAACAAAAGACTGTCATTTTTATTAATTGATATATATGCATTATATATATAATTACTGGCAAAACAATAAATAAAACATATTTAATAAAACCTCTATATGTTTTTCGCTCATTTTTTTTCAATTAATGTAGAACTGTTATATTTTACATTAATAAAGTGTATAATTTTAGATAATGTATTATGTCATAATTACTACTATTACTAACTAATTATAAATTTTAATTAAATAGTATGTGAAAGTTAAACACTTATAAAAAATTGTATTGCAATTTTTTTTTTCTTTAAGATATTTATTTTGCAATAAATATTATTTTTTTCATTTTATTAAGTGATTTTTCTCTAATATTATTAGTTGGATGAGTGTCATAACT